TAGAAGGAGTAAATAAACCACCTCCTCTCTTGTTTAGCCAAGTTACAAGGTATGAACAGCATATTCTTTAGATGGAAATGATGTCTTTTTCCATTTGCTATGTGTGGAAAATACAGTCTGTGCATAATATGTTCGATTCTATCAACTTACGTCAGAATTCCAGAAGATTCTTTAAAGCCTCCAGAGGAATGAGTCAACAAAGGGAATATGAGGAAGGGGGTCGTGCCGAAAAACCCAAGCAGAAGAGATTTGATCCGTCATTGAGCAGAGGGGCTGTCAATCATTCCTGTTCAGCAAATCAGGCCCCAGCATATTAGCTCACAACAACTTAGATCACAGGAAAGGAGAACCCAAAGGGTGGTCCTAAAGGGAAGTCAAGGTTTGAAAGGGGGAGATGGAAAGCAGGCTGACCCTGGAGGAAGATATGGTTGTCAAGGAGGCCAGACCCAACTGCCACGTCAGGATGATGGATGAAGACCGGAAGCTTCAAAGGAGGCGAGAACAAGTGTTAATTTCTGGCTGGAGGACGCGCTTCAGCCAAACAAAAACGGCACAGAAATAGAACAGGCAGAGAGGAAAGGATCAAAAGCAAAGGTGGAATCTGGAGCCACAGAAAACTCCAGCAGAGAGGTGAAGGGAAAAGGCCAGTTCAAAGCCCAGACAGACACCAAGGGTCCCACTCACTTAAAGGACCACAACACGGCGATGGACACCAGACCTCCGCCGGGAAAGGGCTGTGGAGAAAGTTCCGGGAGGGATCGAATCCTTACCCAACCTGGCGGCTGGGCCAACCCAAACCTGCCATGAGCTACAGGTCGTTGACTGTCATTTATCCAAGTCATATCAAGGGCCACAAGGTAAGGATGGGGTACTTTTTAAGCTCTGCAACCAATAATTGGTGACTATGCTCTAAGAAATCTAAACTACTTTTGCTCAATTACTTTTATACCTGTGTATGTGTGTGTGTGTGTGTGTTTTCCTCTTGAAAATGTTAATGGGGGTCTTGGCTAAACTTACGTTTAAGGAGGTTTGAGAGACTCTAGACACTGACACTGAGGAGACGAGAAATCTCGGTGCTTGTGGCCTTTAGGTGAGGGGGAGCCACGTTCACAGCTTACCTGCCCAACCCCTTCCATGCACACAAGATTGAGGGAAAGCCACTGATTAAATGTTTGTAAAATTGTCCCTAACAACTTGAAATCTGGAGATGAGCCAATGCTCATAAAAATAAGTGGATCAGGCTGTTGGCAGAAACCTAATATCCCCATTTTTTTCCTTATATTTTTTGAGTTCAGCAGTCAATGAAATAATGACAGTTAGCGATTTTTCTGTGCCAAGCACTCTTCACAAACCCTTTGAATGGGTTGTCTCATTAAATCTTCATTTAGCCTTCATCATCCTTGAGGTAGCCACCACTTTGACCCTTCTTTCGCAGATGGGGAAGCAGGCCCAAAGAGAGTATGTAACTTGCTCATAGCTGAGAGCCGTCGGACTCCAGAGGCACGTGCTCAGGAGACCCAGATGCGACCTGCACGCAGTGCCAGGGCAGACCAGTTCGGTCTCTGGAGGGTGGCGGGGAGAAGTCCAGGTGTCTGAGGGCAGTCACCCGAGGTCCAGAGCAAACAGCAACAACTCGCGTAACTTGGCACTTCGCAGCCGAGGCTCTGTCATCGTATGGACAGTTCCCCTGCGGGAGGAGAGGGAGGAGAGGAGGGCGGGGAGCACGTGCACACGGGAGGAGAGGGGGTGGATCGGGAGCAGGTGGAGCGGGCGCACAGTTCACCTCCACGTGGGACCGCGGTGGCTTAATTTCTTAAAATTTAAAACCATCGCCAGGTGAGTTAAAGGAGCCCCGATGAGCCCACTGTGGGCCGATGGACCTAACACACTGCGGCGGGGCGCCACGGCAGGGCTTTTCGTTTTCTCCCTAAAAGAACTCCGAAGATAACAGCAGTTCGGTTTATGTATTTCCCAGGGGAAGGAAGGGCCCAGGGAGGCTGATACCGCGAACAGAGCCCTGGCCCCGAAGCCAGGAGAACAGGTCTCGGCTCAGCTTGAACGAACAGCTTTCAACTCCCAGCCTGCCCCCTTCTGGAAAAGCAGCCTGTTGGGCCACCTCTGACGCCCTTCCGGCTGTAACATTCTGACTCTCCAACACGTTTGTTGCATGACCAATAAAACCAGCTCCTTTAAAGCGGGAAAAGCTGGCAGAAAACGGCTTTTGCGTTCGTCTCGCCCCGGCCCCTGCG